TAGTCACATGGCCACACTTAATCCTAAGGAAAGCTGGAAAATCTAGTATTTATTTTGGGTGGTTGTGTGCTTAGTTAAAATTCAGAGAATCACTGAAAGGTAAAATGGATACTGGAAGAAAACTGGCTATTTCTGCCATAGTCCCCTATAGCCTACTCTGTCCCCGGCAGCCAGAGATCCTTTCAAAACATAAATCAGATCACATCACAGCCTTTCATAAAATCTTCCAACAGAGTCCCATTACATCTAGAATAAATCCATACTCCATATTCTGACTTCAGAGGTCCTATGTGGTGTGGCACCTGACCATCTATGGCTACACAGGTCTTCTTCCCATTACTTTAACACACCAAGCTAATTCTAGCCATAGGGACTAGTTATTCCTTCTGCCTAGACTCTCTGTGCATGGCTGGTTCCTTCCTGTTATTCAGGTCTTCTGAGGCCTCTCCGACTGCTAAAGAAGCTCTACATTTTCTTCTTCATCTTGTTTTATTATACAAATAATATTTTAATTATTACTTATATTACCTGCTATTTTCTTGCTTATTATCTGTCTTTTCCTACTAGAAAGAGGGACTTGTCTCTCTGAACCACTGATGCATCTCTAGCGACTAGAAGACTGGCTGGCCCATAATAGCACTCAACAAAAATTAGATGAATACATGAAGTGACTAAGCAAAATCCTGATTATACTTTCTTTGTAACTATAACATATAGTACAGAGCACCACTAACAAATTAACAAGCACACATCTTGGTTAACAGCAGGCACAGAGATGACCCAGCTTATTTGAGCATAAATCAGGGGACAGAAAAAGAATTTTTTTTTCTTTTTCAGATATGCTACTACTCTTACTTTTCTCAAGCTGACTCAATTTACCTTTGTTAGTAATTAAATGTACCTCTTTCTCAGCCTTCCTATTTTTAGCATCTAAGCAGTAAACATAAGGTTTGGTAAACCTATCATGAGACTCCATAACTTAAGAACCGCCTAACTGGTCTCCCTGCTCCTATTTTCTATAATGAAAGCAAAATGGAGTTCAATTAGAGTCCATATACTACTTGAGGTAGTAGTAACTTGTTTTCCATTAGCTATGTTCCAAAGAACAGAGAAGTACCCTAATTTAATCAAACTCAATTTTACTTGGTAGTTAAGAAAGAAGATGGATCTTGGTGAACTTTGGGATCACTCCACCCTCCACGTGCTACTCACATTGCCAATCACTTATAAGAAAGAGTAACTGCAGAAGTGTTTTCTCTTTCCTGCAGAATGTGACAACCTTCTTGTTAGTCAAATGCTCTTGAGATGGCCGTTTTGTATGCTCTAATTATACAGGAATCCTCAGACATCCACAACAACTATCATCAGACTTTAACACGACCAGGTCACATTTTGAAGAGTATTTGATATCTTCTCACCCACTAAGGCTATAACTTCCAATACATTACTCTAGGCATATTTAAACCAACATGTTTTAATGTCATTTTGACTAGGACGAATTGAACTTTCAGATTAGTACACCCTGTAATTTTGTGAACAAAGATGCTAAAAAGTGTTAGTTCTTCGGGGGCCACTCTGATTAGTGACTGAGAGGGTGAGGGCCCTCAGCAATCAGAGCAACCTTGTTCTTATCTGTTCTTTGTTTAGTTTTTAAGTACCCACTCATAAGAGTTCCTCTGAGGGAGTTCTGTTAAGGAAAGTTTGGAAACCCACTGGATTAGATCACCTTTTAGGATTCCCCTTTCTAACTCAAACACCACAATAACTAGGATCTCAAAGGGCCCCAGGGACACATTAAAAAAAACCCCAAAACCAACAGGGACTTCCCTGGAGGTCCAGTGGTTAAGACTCCACGCTCCCAATGCAGGGGGCATGGGTTTGATTCCTGGTCGGGGAACCAAGATCCCGCATGCCACAGGCAAAAAAAAAAAAAAAAAAAAAAAAAAATTACTGTGCAGGATCATAAATTTTAAAATGACAGGAGATTGTGCTGAATGGGTAGTAACCAAGGGCAGAACTTGGATTATTTTTTAGAATTTTAAATATGAACTTTACTTATAGTTTATCTTTTTTCTATCTTATTCCTAAAAGGACTGAAAATGGCTTTGATTTGAACTTGTTTTGTAATGCACATGTACGTGTATTACAGGGCTGCATGTTTTTCCTAAAAGGTGAGTTTGGTTTCAAAACACAGATAACTTTTCAACTGTCAGTATTAAAATATTTTCTCCAAATGGGGGGAAAAAGTCAAAAAGTTAATTTTTCCCAAGGCTATGTTTAAAAACTTCCCTATTAAAGGGATAACTTCTCATTATGGTACTTATTTCTGTACGGTTTAATTTCTTGTAAGAGGCTTAAGGATGAAGGACAGGAGTTAATATTTGTCACAGTCTCAGATAAGATTTTTAAAATATAGTGCCAAGGGATAGTTATGCACTGTAACACCATAAATTTAACCACAGTTTATACAGATTTAAATGTAACTGCGTCTAATAGGATTCTCCTGAAGCAAGTGTGCAGAATGAATATGAACAGTGAAAAACGGGTTTATAAAACTAATGTAATATTTTCATGTGACTATGATACTTAACTTTGATAGAAGGCAAATCAAATTTTATAAGACCTGGAGTGATCATAAACAGTTAAAAGTGAATTATTCAGATTTAACAATATATGAAAGGTTTAAAAGCCCAGCAGAGTTATCCTTTTGTTCTCACTGCTGGAAGTAAAACAAAGAATCAATGGCTTCTTAAAGTTACCTTCTGCTTAAAATTTCACACAGTCATTATGGCTGATTTGTTTTAGTAGAAACTGACCATAATATTCCAAAGGCGGCTTTTGGTAGGTAATATCCATAATTATGTAAATGTTAAATAACTGCTTCTGATAAGAACCTCTTCAATGTTGAAACAATTTACACCTTACAGGATACTTAAGGGCTACTTTTTCATGCATTGGTGCACACAATGAATGGTAGCACTGGGAAAAGCCAATATTTTTTAAAAGGTAATTTTTAAAAATTAAAAATACCAATGTTTATATAGGTAACAAATGCATTTGGTTTAAAAAAAAATCAAGTGATACAAATGGGTGTGCAGTGAAACAGAAGTCTTCCCTTTACTCTTGTTTCTCAGTCTCCCAGATCCCTTTCTCAGAATCAACTTTTGTTAATTTCTTGAATCTTTCCAGACCAATTCCCCATATTTATAAGCACATATACATAAACTTTAGAAGACTTAAAAATAGCTGGCTTTCTCTCTAGTAAGCCTAACAGTAACAAGTTAGCTTGAGCTTTTAAAAATACACCAGCATGTAAAAATAGTGTAGGTTGGGTAAAATTAAAAAAAGAAAAGCCAGATACTACATTGTTTTCACTGTAGCTCTGCCATCAACCACAGAATCCTTTCCTGAAAGGTGCAACAACTAAATGCTTCACCACGGTGGCCAGAGAGGGCAGTGTGTACCAACGACAAAGGCAAAGGCAGAAAAGCTGCAAAACCCTTCACCATTCCAGGAGTATCAGAGATTCCGTCCTATCCAGTTCAGTTTCAAGTTCTGCAGGTAAAGCTGTATAACAGATCTACGTGATTTCTCCCCAGAGGGGGCTACTCAGATGGAATGTCATTATTATTGAACACCCTAAGGCAAAGAGGACAACGAAGCAATTCAGATAAGGAGCACTATCAGAAACCCTACTATGCATAGAATTTATTTTGAAAAAGTAAAACAAAATCTTAATTTCCAAGGAATGGCGATATAAATTGAGAGTTACAGAAAGGAAAGACTACAGAAATTGATTTCAGAGATATAAAATTTTAATACAATGAGGAAATCATTAATAATTTATGGGGTGACTGCGAAACAATCACCAGATAGAAAGTCTTAGGTTACCTTAGCACAAACTGTACATATAAGTATACAGTGGGTAGTTAAATTGCTGAAATATCAATTATGAATTTAGGAATATCTGAACAGTAGATAATTTGTGCAATTAAAATTTAAAGCAAAATTATACAGAATTTTCCAGTAAAACAAATTTGAAAAGTGTTAATATGGAGTGGGAAAAAACCCAACATTTTTCACTGTACAAATATCAAGATACAATGAAAAGCGCTAATCAGTGCCTTAACTCCTTACCCAATATTTAAAAAACGGGAATATTTCATAACATTACAAATACACAGCTATTCAGTTTTCAATCGAAGTCAGTAGCGGAAAAGGGAAGCCCTTTATTGGTGGTGGTGATTTTCCTCCGAGGACCGAAAACAGGATTTATTCATTCCGATTTTCAGAAACAACTTTCTATCACCATCTTGATTATCTATGTATATAAATTTTAATCTAAAATAACACCTCCTGGAAAATGCAAAGCAGCTGTAGTATGTTTTGGAGCTTTGTGTACTTGGCAAGCTGACTGTTTTAATTCCCGGTACAACAAATCATAAAGAACCAGATACCGGCGGCAGGGTATCCTGAGGTCCCGGGAAGCGCCAAGGCACAGCCCCGAGCAGCGGCGCCCGCAGTGGTGCCGCAGCCTCCGCGGCCGCAGCAGGTGGGACCCGGCCGGCGGGGAGGCCGTTCCGCCGCACGCCACCGCGGGGCTTTTCAAGAACAGCTCCGCGACGCCTCAGCTGTGGTTTTCATTGTTTGCTCGGAATGACTTTGTTACTAATGCTGAAAAAGAGCGGCCTACGCTCCACTCACACAAACCCCACAACTTTGCAAAGCGATGTGCGGAATTTCGAGGAAGAGGCGCGAGGGCACAGCTCGGAGGGCCGGCCGAGCCGCCGCGTCCCGTTGAGCTCCCCGGTTCCCCCCGCCACGGCACGCAGAAGGCTGGGGAGAAGCGCTCGGGGAGCGAGTCGATCCCGGCGGGAGCGGGGGCTCCGCGATCCGCTCGCGCCAGACAAAGGGGCGCGTCGGACGCCCGGCGCCGGGCAGGGACACGAAGACGCCGGCTTCGCCCGCAGGGGGCGCCGTCCGCAGCTCTGGGCGCTTACCTTTGAGGACCGAGCAGAGCTGCTCCAGGGCCATGTTCTCGAGCTGCCCGGCTCTTCGCGAGGGGCCAAGGCGGCGACGAAGAGGCGGTGGCGGAAGCGCGGCGCTCACGGCTCAGCGCGGCGGCAGCCCCGCTCCGTCCCCATCGCCCGCCACCAGGTTGCTACCCGCAGGGTAGGACTCAGGTCCTGCGGCCCGCCATGCCCCAACCTCCAGGCGGGCTCTCGCGCTGCCCCAGTCCCCCGACGGGCGCCGCCTCCTGCTCCGCGGCGCTCCGTCCCATCGACCGCCTCGCTGCCGGGGAGCGCGGACGCGAGGGATCGGACCTCCGCGGGCCCGTCCGCCTGCAGCCGCAGCGCAGGCCCCGCTGAAGTGGCGGGCGCGGCGAGCCCACGCTCATTTAAGCAGAGAGCGCTAGCGCCGCGTGCCGGCCGCACCGCCGGCGCGCATGTGCCCGCCCCCCGCCCCCGCCCGCGTGCCCCTCGCAACCCTCCCGGCCAATCGCCTGGCGAGCCCGCCCGCGGCCTCGCACCCTGGGTGGGCGGTGCTCCCCTCTGGCGACCGTTTTGTTGGGGGCGGGGCGAGAAGGTTCGGGGCGCCGCCCTCTCGCACCCCGAGAGGCCGGCGCAGAGGGAGAGCCCGGCCTGCGCCCCGCAGCCCCGGGCCGCGGGGTGGGCGGGTCCGAGCCCTCGAGGCCTGCCTCCTGAGGGAGGGCTGGGGCCCGCCGCCCACCCGGTTCGGCGGCCCTAGTCCGTCTGCCCACCTCCGTCCGCCCTCGCAGACGGAAGGGGGGCACCGATCCCATGGCCTCTTAAGACCTCAATTCAAGGTCAAAACTCTGCCCTGCTCAGCCCTTCTCTACTACCTGCCTCGGCAGGGGGCGCGGATCTGGGCGGGGCTCAGGGCGGAACGGGTCTGTTTAGCGCCAAGGGAGTTAACCTGACCAACGGTAATGATTACTAAGATTTGCGGACCGCTTCCCAGATTGCCAGGCACAGCACCAAACATTTTCCATATCAATTCTGTAATCCTCGATTCACTTCCTGCGGGATAGGTACTGTTGGAGGATGGGAAAAAGGAGGCCAGGAAGGTTAAGTCATTTGTCCAGAGCCACACAGTGAAAGAGGGAGGCAGGGCTGTAAACCCAAGAAATCTGCCTCCAGAGACTGCCCTCTTTACCACCAAGCCATGCTGATGGGGTCACCTGACTCCGCTGATAGCAAATCTCCAAATTTGCAAACAACTGCGTGGTATTCTGTTTTATTTTCTCTATAGTGATTATCACGCTCTGAAATTACCTTGCCTATCTACTTGTTTATTTTTGTTCATCACCTGTATCTCATTTACCCCCACTATTAAAATATAAGTTGCTTGAGGGCAAGGAGGCTACATTCATATATCCCCTCAACACATACTTATTGAGCATTAATTATGTGCAGAAAACAGTGATGGGTGCTGGGGAAATATCCGTGATTGAGGCCCTATCATAACAGAATATTTATGCCTGTATCTGACACGTAGTAGGAACTCCATACATATTTGTCTAACGAAGTTAAGGACAATTTGCAGCAACTGAAAATATCTCTTTCCTTCTATCCCTCCAAAAGTAAGTATTAACAAGGTTTGCAAGTGAAAACATACTTAACATCAAATAATATTAAGGTATTTAGCCCTTTACCGAGTGTGCTGTGGAAGGTATACGAGATGTGTATGAGGAAAATCACCTACAGTTAAATTGAGATTGCACACGAGAACCAACTAGTAAATAAAACATTTAAGAGGCTTTTCCACAAATATAATAAAGTGACTTATTGGGAGACCAGGACAATATTACCATTATTAAATCTAAGTCACAGACAATGGTGGACAAAAAGAATTGGGAGGAAGGAGCCCTCTCAGCTTCTGGAATAATGGTTCTTAATGCATAATTGTTGACTGAAGGAAGAATCCATGTGTATATGATGTTATCAGAGAATGCTTCATGAAGGAGGTGACACACAAAGAATGAAAAGGCTGTGGATGCCAAGTGGAGAGGAGAGAGAGCAGAAGAGCTTTCATATCAGGCAAGGAGCAGGGGTGAGCCTCACATTTGGGGCAAGTGTTGTGACTGGTAGTGAAGATAAAGTTGAATATGGTGGGTTTTGACTATGGAGATTCTTGCTTGATTGCTAGGCAAAGGAGTTTGTACTTGACTCAGGAGGCTAGAGGCAGTTTTTTTGTTTTTGCGGTACGCGGGCCTCTCACTGTTGTGGCCTCTCCCGTTGCGGAGCACAGGCTCCGGATGCGCAGGCTCAGCGGCCATGGCTCACGGGCCCAGCCGCTCCGTGGCATGTGGGATCTTCCCAGACCGGGGCACGAACCCGTGTCCCCTGCATTAGCAGGCGGACTCTCAACCACTGCGCCACCAGGGAAGCCCTAGACGCAGTTTTTAATAGTGGAGCAATGGAGTTCTGGAAACATTAATCTGGCATTTGAGTTGATACAGTAAAAGGGGAGAGATTAGAGCAACCATACTCACAAAGTATATACACAGCATTGTTTCATTTAGCCTAGTACCTCTTATGGTAGTACCATTTTGGTGAAACCTAAGAAGTCTTTTCTCTAGTATGTTGGCTGGGGACTAGATTCCCAAGGAGTGGATTGGGACTGTTCATTCTGTGGCTCCCTTTTAAGACACCTATCTTTTGGATGTACTAGTGTAATTGTAGTAGATTTTCCAAGGAATGTGGTAAAGCACAGATAATAGCTGAGACTACTGTGTGGCCATATGCTGACTAAATCAAAAGAAAAGCAGTTTGCATCTCTCTCAGCTGGGGAGTTCTGTATTTGAAATATTATTTCCCTGGAAGACCACCCAGTAGTATCCAGTCTGTTCCCAGATTACCTGCCAGTGCCCAGGTGATTGAGGACTGCTTTCATTGTTCCCTGCCTGATCTTCCAGGCATAGGTATAGCCTCTCCAGCTCCTCACAGATCATTCCTGTAGTTTACATTTCGTTTTCTCTGACCAAGTCTTCTGTAGCACTTGAATGGTGGTGTGGAGCATTGACTTACTTAAAAAATGCTGAATTTTATCTCAGTGTTTATGTACCAAACAGATTTTTGTTGTCTCTCTTTTTTGCTGGAGTTTGGGAGCTCTAACATTTTATTAAATGATAACCTAGAAAGGCAGGTTATGTTTAGAGATTGTTACGGACTGAATGTTTCCCTCAAAGTTCATGTGTTGAAGTTTTAACCCCTAGTGTGCCTGTATTGGAGATGAGGCCTCTAAAGTTAAATGAAGTCATAAGGGTGGGACCCTGACCTGATAGGATTAGTTTCTTATAACAAGAGACAGCAGAAAGCACAAGCATGAAGGAAATGCCTTGTGAGGACCTGATGAGAAGGCACCTGCCTGCAAACTAGGAAGAGCTCTCTCACCAGAAACCAAATTGGCTGAAGCCTTAATCAGGGACTTCCAGCCTCCAGAACTGTGAGAAAATAAATGTTGCTTCAGTCACCCAGTCCATGACATTTTGTTATGGCAGTTTGAGCAGACTAATACAGAGATATAACATAACTAAGGAAAATATAGGAATTGACACATAACCAAACTGATATTAGAAAATCTATTTGTAGTAAAAAAAAAATAGGGGTCTTATACTGCTTTTCTTACAGTGTGCAGATATGGCTACAATGATGGTGAAGTTTAGTGAAAAGCAAAATCATACAGGATCTCAGTGTATGAAGATTTCAGTGTCATACAACTGTGGGGAATTTTTTAGGAAAGGAAAAGAGGAAACTTTAAAATTTTTTATTAGTTCATTGAATTAGTTGGCCTGGGTTCTCATAACTAGATACCACAGACTGTATGGCTTAAACAATAGAAATTTATTTTCTCACAGTTCTGGAGGCTAGAAGTCCAAAATCAGGGTGCCAATAGGATTGGTTTCTGGTGAGACCTCTCTTCCTGGCTTGCAGATGGCAAGCTTCTTGCTGTGTCTTCACATGGCCCTTCCTCTGTGCACCAAAAACTCCTCATGTCTCTTCCTCCTCTTATAAGGACACCAGTCAGATTGTATTAAGGTCCTACTCTTATAAACTCATTTAACCTTAATTACATCCTTAAAGGCCCTGTCTCCAAATACAGTCACATTGTGGGTTAGAGCTTCAACATATGGATTTTGCGGGGGGGGACAGAGTTCAGTCCGTACACTCATGAACCAAAATTATCCCTGTGTTAATGATATTGAAGAAGACTTGTCTCCAGGGAGTTAAAACTGGTTCTTTCAGTAACAATGTCACCTAAACTTGTTTCCAAATTTCTGCCTAGTATAATTCCAAAGCAAGAAAATGTTTAAGAAATATTGCCTACTACCAGTACTTAAGTATTTTAACTTTATCAGGAAAATTTCTAGTCATCCAGTTACTTTCCACTGCACCACCAGGGAAGCCCCTCGTTTCATGGTTTTAATATTCATTTCCCTAATGGCAAATGATGTTGAGAACTTTTCATGAGCTTAGTTGCTATTCATATATCTTCTTCAGTGAAGTGTCCAAGTTCTTGCTTGCTTTTTTTTTTTTTTTTTTGCGGTACACAGGCCTCCCAATGCCGAGGCCTCTCCCGTTGCAGAGCACAGGCTCCGGACGCGCAGGCTCAGCGGCCATGGCTCACGGGCCTAGCCACTCTGCGGCATGTGGGATCTTCCCAGATCAGGGCACGAACCTGTGTCCCCTGCATCGGCAGGTGGACTCTCAACCACTGCGCCACCAGGGAAGCCTTTGCTTGCTTTTAAATTGGGTTATTGTTTAGTTTTGAGAGTTCTTTATACATTCTGGATATAAGTCCGTTGTTGAATATGTGATTTGCAAATATTTCCATCGCATATGTAGCTTGTCTGTTCATTCTCTTGAAAGTGTTTTTGGCAAAGAAAATGTCTTTAAATTTAGATTTTTTTCTTTTATCTAAAACCTTCCTTAGATTTTTTGGTATTATTTCTAAGAACTCTTTGCCTTACCCCAGCTCATGAGTATATTCTCGTATGTTTCCTTCTAAAAATTTGATAGTTTTATGTTTTACATTTAAGGTTATGATCCATTTTGAATTAATTATTGTATGAGGTGTGAGGTTTAGGTCAAGGTTCTTTTTTTTCTTTGCATAGGGATGACCAAATAGTTTAACACTATCTCAAAGACCACCTTCCACTGAATCACTTTTACACTTTTGTCAAAGATCAAATAGCTATATTTGTGTGGGATTATTTTTGGACTTTCTATTTTGTTCCATTGATCTATGTGTCTATCTTTTTCCAGTACCACATTATCCTG